TTTGACTTACAATGATAATTATTTCAGTTTAATACAAAAATTTTATATTTTAATTAAAATCACATAACTGAATATTTTCAACAAAATTTTTAGAGTTTTAATTGGGGTAGTAATTTAAACGATGGTCAAATTCATGCAATGCGTGTTAAACGTCGTGGTGAAAAGCTTTTGTTATTTTTGGACGGCAAATGGGAGCATAGTTGTAAGTTTTCGTATGCAAATTTGGAGCAACGTATTGTGAGCAATCTTTTGAGATGCAATCAAATATATCACTGAGTGATGGAAGCATTCAACTAAAATTTTCACTGATTGTTGCTCTTTTCAGGATTTTTACGTTAAAATGTGTATTTAAGGATTATGAGAAGCTAAGATTTGCTTGCAATGCTTTGCTTTATATGCCATATGCATTCATTCAGCTATTTCCACCTAATTTTTATTTATGTTCATCTTTCATTTATTTTATTTACAACAAAAATTTTAGAAATTTAAAAATTCGTAAAATTGTTTATTTAAGATTTTATTATTGAAACTTTTTATATTTTGTAAAATTATGCTAATAATAACGATTTTATTGTTGAATTCTTTCAGACTTTTTGCCTTCATCAAAAGTAACGGTAAATATTGAGGAAATAGCTGCTGGATATTCCCTTCATAACATATCTTCAACTGACTTTATGACTCGAACTAACAAAACTTTGAATGAAAAGTTTCAAGGGCGAATGGTTAAGATGCTCTTCAATGACTATAACGTATTGAAAAATGCAAAGAGAAGTAACATACTCAACAGATTCAGCTCAAAATCAAGCGAAATACGTGAAGGCTACAAAGTGAAGAACAGGTAGTGCAAAAATATATCTTGCAATATAATCTTGCGCATTTGCATATTTATATCTTAATACCGTATCTTACGCTACTTTGATCGACGCTAAGAGTCTCATAGATAATTATACTTTTTAAAGTTTAAAGTTCAAATTATCCATTGAAAAAAGATATGTTCTAGCTAGATGTATTATTTTTGCTCATTTTGACAACATAACTACTATTGCTATGAAACGAATTATAACAATGACCACGTACTAGTCACTTGCTTTTAAATATAACAGAATCAGATTGTAATAAAAATAAAATTCTGAAATAAAAAATTGTTAAAAAAATATTTTTTTTCCTGAAATTCTACAAAAATCATATGGCTAGTTTTTTTATTTTGATATTTTGCGGCTCATTATAAAAATAAAAGTGATTTAATCAAATTTAATTCTGCAATAAGAGTTAAAGGCTTCTCGGGGATAAAATATTCTGCTTTAATTGAATTGCAATTTTTTTATTAAGAAATTTATTAAGATGTTGTTCTTAAATCTTGCGAAAATCATACGATTGACTTTTTATTTTGTTACATTATGGCTAATTAAATGAATGAAATTGACTCAGTTTAATTTTTTGATGCAAATTAATTGCTAATTCAGAAGCTGCTTGAAGTTTATGATAGTGTCTTTCTTAGCAATATCAAAATGAGCAAATAAATGTGAAGGTGTCGAAAAATTAATTCTTTACCAAACCAAAGATTGCAACTATACATTATGATTTTCTGCAAAACCTTCAGATAACTGGACAAATTATTTTTCAGGAAAGCAAAATATTCTACTGTAACTTTTGAAAACCACAAATCTTACGCAGTAATAAGCCTAGAACGTGTGGCCAGCATTTTAAAAACTTTTCAAATTTCGTTCAAATTTCGTACATTGTCACCATCATCAGTAATTTTCTTGTTTGCTACGAATACCTCTTATGATGGTGATTACGCGTCATTGGAGCTTTATCGTGGAAGATTAAGGTAAAATTTCAGATTGCCTTACGTAAACTTCTCGTTTTACTTCAGAAGATTAGAAATGTCGAAGTTTGGTCAGAAAAATAGCACTGAAATACAATCCCAAATTAAATTTTCTTTTCTATTACGTTTTTTTTGCAAATTATTTTCAATACAATATTTGATGATAAATGAAAAATAGAATCCTCAAAAAGAAGCCATCAATAATTACAAATGGATTATTTCGAGAAAATTAAGTATTTTTGGAACGCTTAATATAAACAGTTTATAAATTAAATCGTAAGGTTAATTTACTTCATTTTTAGCAAACTACAAATAAGATAAAATATATTAATATGAGTTGAAATTCAAATTCAGATATACCTATGGGTATCAATCTCGACAGGAAAGCGTGTTGTCATCAGTTCCATCCGATGGACAGCTTCTGAATGATTTTAGGTGGCATAGCGTCCTTATTCATCAGGTTTTGGTGTAAAATCCACTGCTCTTATTAGTTTTTTTCTGTTAAGTGAACATTTATAAGTAGGTAGCATTTGTGCAATTAACTTTCTAGCATACATCACCAAGGTAAGGTAATATACATTTATGCAGGTAAACAACTAGCAATAATAATTATATGCTAAAATTAAGTCATAATGTTATTAGTAATTTAGATACCATACGCATACACTCCAAATTTACTGTAATTAATCTAAAGATACAAATTAAATTACATGAAGCCATGAAAATCCTAGAAAATGCCTGTCAAACATACTGACAAGAAATCTTGGGAGTATTGAAATATCATTGAAGCATATTTTGTTGCTAACTAGTAAAGACTTAAAAAGCAAGATTAAGAACTACTTTACATAAGTATTTACTTAAAGATATATTATAGTTTCTTAATAAAAGTGGAAACTAATCAAAATATGCAGTTTTCATTGTCATGGAAACTGGCAAGTAGGGAAGATCACCTGTTGTGTTGTCAAGCAAAAACTTTTTCTGTAATAGTTTGTATTGAAAAATTGAAGTTTGAAATGATCTAAAATTATTTTCAATCAATTTACAAAATTATCTTTGTACAATCTCAGTTTAAAATCTTTTTGAATGAAAAAAGCAAACAAAGTGATTTATGCTAATGTAATCGAACCAATTCTAGAATAATACTGACAAACTGAAACAAGCAAATTTACTGTACATAAACAGTAGTTTATTGTATTAGT